CAGGGAGGGAGGGAGAGAGAAGGATAGGGATAGGAGAGGGTGAAGGAAGCAGAGAGAAAGAGGGCAGTGGGGGGGAGAGAGTTGCCTGGCCACATTGAAACAGCTAAATGACGTTACAACACTGTGGACATAACTCTCATCCACCAAACTTCTGACTCTTTCCTCTAAAGCTCTATCATTGACAAAAATTCAGTTTGGTTAATAAAACGGTATTTACAGGAGGGAGAAAGAGTGAATGAGAGAGGGGATAGGGATAGAAAGGAAGCGTGGCGGAAAGGGAGAGAAAGGGGAATAGAGGGGGAGAGAGGAAGGGAGAAGGTAGAAAAAAGAGAGAGGGAGGGGTAGGAGATAGTCTCAACTGGAAATAAGGGTAAAGAGGAAATGTGGACGGAGGGCGGTTTAGAGTGAGAACCTGCAAGTATTTTTCTCTTTCTAGAACATTCCTGGGCTGTGCAAATAGTATACAATTATAGAAATGCACTTGTGTCATGAAAATGGAGCGGGGAAAAATGCTTTTTAACAAACACAAATGTCGTAGGAGCCCCCTTGCTGGCACATCCTCTCCCATCCTGTACACTTGATCACCGAGTCATGTTTCTTCTATCTGATGGGCATGTAAGACAGTCCGGATCGTCTGCCTTGCATGAAGACCACCACGCTGCCAATGGCGACGAGGAAGAGACTGGCCACGCTGAAGTAGAATGAGTAGCCGAGGTAAGGGTCACGGAAGCCCCAGACACCAACACAGATGATGAAAACAACTGCAAGAGACAGATTTCAAATGATAAAACTATGAATGTAAGAGACATGAAATTAACTGTAAGAGAGATGAAAGTAACTTTAAGAGAGATGAAAGTAACTGTCAGAGAGATGAAGTAACTGTAAGGGAGATGAAACTACTGTAAGAGAGATGAAGTAACTGTAAGGGAGATGAAGTAACTGTAGGGAGATGAAGATAACTGTAAGAGAGATGAAAATAACTGTACGAGAGATGAAGTAACTGTAAGAGAGATGAAGTAGCAGTAAGAGAGATGAAAGTAACTGTAAGAGAGATGAAGTAACTAAGAGAGATCAAAGTAACTGTAAGAGAGGTGAAAGTAAATGTAAGAGACATGACTGAAAGATAAAAGAAACTGTATGAGAGATAAGCAGGAGATAAAAAGGTTAAAATTACTTATATGTTAATAGAGAAAGTTTAAAAAAAAAACAACTTATGTTAGCTCTTACAGAGTGGGCTTTCAAAAATTATCCCCCTCCAAAAAAAATAAAAAAAAAATAAAAAAAAATAATGAACAAATAAACGAAGTTTTGGCTGTATTTTGTCTGTTAAGTTCATTAAAAACAAGCCATTTACTTATGTCTTACTATCTTCCAGATATGTTTTTTTCGTGACTCAGTATATTTGATGTAACAAAAGCTTTCACTTCTATTCCTGTATCACAATAAAAGCTTATCACATGTGGGTCACGACCCTTTTGTGGGTCGAAGGACCCTTTACCAGTGACCATCGAAAAACACATATACTCTACTGTTATAAAGTATCAAAGAAAATAATTTCGTGAGGGTCGCCACATTATGAGAACTGTATTAATGGGTCGCTGCATTTTAAAGGTTGAGAACCACTGTCTAATCAGCTAGGGCTAGTGCCATCAAATTAGGATAGTTTGTCAACCCCACTCCACAAAAAAAAATTGTCTGTAAAAATGCCCCCCCCACCCCCTCCATATAAAGAAAAAGTGACACCCTGCGTGGACTACCTCCTTAGCTCACTTTTCCTCATCCTGGATTTTACTCTGTGGGTAACTTACCTCCGGCTAATCCTAAGGTAGAGGCGGCGTCAGTGAGTACTTTCTCAGGGGATCTGAACACCGTGGGAAGTACTTAGAAAATGGCGGCCAAGACAAAAGCGGCTACCGTAGAACACCCAATATGGCGAACGCCTCAAAAACCTTCAAGATGTCTGAAGAAACAATAAATGAAAGCGTTTGGATTTTTGGTGTGATTTGTAAGTTCGTATTTGTAACAACTGCATTTTAATTCTACGAAGTACATGATTCCAGGACAAAGTTTAAAATCAATCATTGCATCACGCCAATTCTCTGAAATGCTCATGTGAAACACTATCTTCTTCTTCTTCTTCTTTCTTCTTTATTTTAAGGGCCCACGATCAATGAATTGATCATTCTGGCTCCTATGTTTCAGAGGGGTTTGTGATGTGAAACACTGGTTATCAGAAACCCTGGTTATCTATCAAGGTACATTAATGATATGGGACTTGGCAGGAAAAAAAAAGAATTTTATAAATGAAACAACTGAAAGTAGATGTGTAATTACCATAATACATGTACAACAAATTACCATAATAAACTGTACAACAAATTACCACAATGCGCTGTACAACAAATTACCACAATGTGCTGTACAACAAATTACCGTAATACATTGTACAAAAAATTACTGTAATACACTGTACAACAAATTACCATAATACTCTGTACAACAAATTACCATATTACACTGTACAACAAATTACAACATGCGTCTAATGTAAGAGTATATTCCATGCAAAAACATTTTGAATGGAAAGTTTTCAGAAACTAACTCTCCAGAAACAATAGGTTATCCGAAACAACCCAAATCCTAACCAGTTAGTCTAACCTTAACATATATATATATATATATATATATATATATATATATATATATATATATATATATATATAAGGATACATATAAACACATTTCTTACCATTATATCAGACCGAAAAAAAGAAATCATGACGTCTTTCCTCCTTTGATTGTGTGGGGTGGGTCTCCACACTCATCTTGGATGCACAGCCTCCACAGTCCATGACTTAGTTTTATAAATGGTGGGTTGGGAATTGATGAAGACAACCATTCAGGGGTGGCCACACCGGCAATGTTGATGATGACGCATATGCCGATGGTGGCCAGTCCAACCGGGTAGCTGGACGTTATGCCTCCCGGAAGCAGCCTTTGATAAAGATGGAGAGAAAAATTTGTGTGTGATCGTGGACGAGTCTAGGGGATTGTCTTGCTCGCTAACACTGTCTTACTGTTCTCGTGTTTGAGAACGTTTTCAAAGGGTCAAATAACAGCAGTTTCATAAAAGGCAATCACGTTTTCAAGGTTGCATCTCTAGCGTTAGTTCCAGACATATGACAGGGTTTTTAAAGCCCCTTTACCCCCAACCCCTCCCCACAGGCACAACCCGCCACCTACTTATTTCTTATGCATGAAGAGGATGTCGACAGAACCGCTTCAACTATGTGAGCATATCTGCACGGCAGCATTGCCTAACTATGTCAGCATATCTGAACAGCAGTATTGCCTTGTGTAGTTTTTCGATTATTTTCAATAGTGAGTCTGAAATCAAGACTTACCTTCTAAATCTTCCCCTCACTCCCCAATTTTCCCGCCCACCTACCGCTCCAAGCTTGCATTTTGTAAACTGCCTGCTGTTCCTCAATATACTATAAATATATAAATCAATAAAAGTGGATTTTGATTTTTAGTTTATCAGAAATTGAATCACAATCATGCCATATTAAAATTATAACAAATGCAGTTAATAAAATAAATAATGTAACTGTACAATCTGAGTTGCGAATGTTTTATTGCTTCATTTTGTTGTATTAAGGAACACAAGTTTTTTATAAAGAAATAAACAGTAATAATTAAAACCTAATTTTATTTCTTAATTTTAAAAATAAACAATATTCACATCCCATTTCAAGTTCACAGATTTGCAGAAATAGAGTTCATGCATAGCTCAACAAATAAGCATAAATACTCTAACATTTTAATACAGATCAAGAAATATTTTTTAATTGATTTATAATAATCATATGAACAATTAACATCTGAAATCTGATATATAAAAAAAACTATACAGTAACACAGATATGGGAAAAATGTATGTGGTTAAAAATGTTAAAATAGTCTATGACTGGTTTAGCATGCTCCACTCCTGTGTCGAGTTCATCTGATTAGAAAAACTGCCCATTACTGGGAATCTAACACCACAGCTGTGTTTAGAAATCTATGGACACATTTTTCCTTGGTTGAACAAACTTGGAGCAAAAAGCGAGCAACTGTTTCCTCTATTGTGTGCAACTGTTTCCTCAATTGTATGCAACTATTTCCTCTATTGTGTGCAACTATTTCCTCTATTGTGTGCAAATGTTTCTTATTTGGGATAATGAGGGTTAGATTACTTTGATCTAACAGAAAATGAAGAAGTCCTGAGTATGAGAGAAGACAGAGCTTGTAATGACAGTAACTGTTAACAGAAAGCACAGGGCTCATCCTTAGCTTGCCATAGCATTACAAAGCTGATGCTCAAAATGGAAAGAAGAACCAGTGAAATTCTTGAAGACTTAGTAAGAGTCATGAAAAATTGGACAAAAGACTTGAGAATGCTGTAATACAGATGGATGAATGCGTAAATTAATTTTTAAAATGTGAGCAACACAGTATAGGACCAACAAAGAATAAGATATTTAACAGACTTAAACACAAACACACACACATACTCACTCTCTTCCTCAAATTTTACATTTACATAAAGTTCAACATCCTTTTTTTTTATTTTAAAGTCAGTTTTGTTTTTAACAAAAAAAAAAAAATCACATTTTCTTTCATTACCAAAAGTGAAATAAACTATATGCTCTTTTAACATACAAAAAAATATTTGGAAATTTTTAGATACCGTACAAATTTTTAAGTAAATCAAATAAGATTTTTTAAGCTTGTTATAGAATATATGTCTCAAATATTATTACATTTTCTTAAAATGTCAGTTCCATTTCATATGATTACAAATTAATGTTTACTTCTCAACACAATATGATTTGAGTTTAACAAGTTGTTGCTGAAATAATTATAGAATATATGTCTCAAATATTATTACATTTTCTTAAAATGTCAGTTCCATTTCATATGATTACAAATTAATGTTTACTTCTCAACACAATATGATTTGAGTTTAACAAGTTGTTGCTGAAATAATTTACGTAGTCTTAAAATAAATCTATTACGAACAAATATTACTTTATCTATAATTTTGTTGTTAAATATAGGGGGTCTTCAAAAATCTATAAATGGATGAAAACCTTGTTGTTGGACAGATGAGGGATGGAGAAATTTAAATTGGGATCTGGTAAAAGGCAAATCATTTGGTAAAGCCATGTAGTAGATTTGTTTCCCCTTCTTTTAAAAGATTCTGTTTGGTAGTATCTTTCCTATTTTGCCCTATTCATGACATACAGATGTTATAAAATGAAATACAAATTTCTATACCGGTATTTAAAAATGATGCCTATCCATTCTCAAAGATTCCATTAAGCAGATCACTTCCATTGCAAATGGGTTGCTGTAAACAAGCCTGGAGTAAGACAAACATTAACATAAATACAGTTAAGTTACAACCGAACTGACCGACTATGAAAATTGTTATTCCTGGTGTAAGAGGGTCTCTTCCGGCCGCCAACATCTGAATGAGTCCAATGTAAGGATGAAGAACCAGTGCTAAATGAATCAGCTACTTCATTGATGATTTTAGTTTTCTGTAGCAGAGTTCTACCCATAGCGCCCACACCTTCAAAGTCACGTGCTCGCTCTGAAGACTCTATCAAATTCAAGGTGGATAAGTTTGCATCATGTAGCTCTTTGGTAGTGAATCCGAAGTTGTTAGCCTGCATTAAACTGGGTGGGTTGATCTTGCTGCCGCGAGGAGGCAGCAAAGGTCTGAATGATTTAGCCAGGTCTGGGTCAATCTCATTAATCCTGAAAGTGGAAAAATAGTTTTTCCCTTTATACAATTTCTTAAAAGATATAGATGGAGATGCAAACAAAATATCTTTTGAAAATCTACTGAAAACTAAGCTGCAACCATTAAGTCTGCTGTCTCAGGTGCATTTCAATAAGCTCAAACATGGTTGATAAACAATTTCTTAAAAGATATAGATGGAGATGCAAACAAAATATCTTTTGAAAATCTACTGAAAACTAAGCTGCAACCATTAAGTCTGCTGTCTCAGGTGCATTTCAATAAGCTCAAACATGGTTGATATTAAATCAAACATGCAGCAGTCTGATTAGAAGCACTTGTTACATGTCATAACAGACACGAGAACTGGACTATGCATACCACTCTTGAGGAAATGAATCTTCCACCGCGAGATGAGATGTCAACTGGTAAAAGGAGAAGGGACCACATTCGGAACCAGGATATAAGACAAATGGTTGGTGCCACAAAAGTCAGCTAGTAAATGGCCCTACAATGAATTTATTAATTTAGCCATCTGGTCAGAATACCTGTCAATCAGCCTGGATTACAAGCCTACAACACAGGCCCTCCGGTTTTGGGACCAGAGGAAGACCACACCATTGGCATATGGGATGTGGTAAGGACACCCTCAAAGTTAACAACATAAACCTTCAGCAGGCCTCAAACCTTCTGGGATGCAGCCAACTGCACCTCCCTGCAATGCCTCCCCCTAGTAAAAATTGGACAGAACAAGAATAGGAATGAATAAACAACTCACTTCTGCTTGACTGTACCACCCATCATTCGCCTCCGTGCACTTGACAAGATTTGCTTATTCCTCCTGTCCAGCACGACCTCTTTAGAGGAATTCCTTATATTTCCAAAATGTTTCAAAGACTTTCCCAGTTCATAGGTGAACCTTTCATCATTGGTCACTTTGCCTGTTGATATGAACACAGATTTATTTTTAATGGTTGGCCTTGAGCGGCAACTTTGTTTTTAATTGTTATTTTAAAGTGTTTTCTTTTAAATGAATATATCTGCCGTTTTTTTTCCAGTTTGTTAGCAAACAAAAGGCTGAAGTTTCCAACTGTTGGTATAGATCAGCCTGATAAAAAGGTCAGCCGTTATCACAAAAGGAGGTCCTTCTATACAATATAGCTTGTGTTTGAGTCTACAAAATGTATGCTAGTCAAGAAATGTTCATAATTTTCGGGTGTGACTTTAAAATAATGAGTGAAAATAAAAGAACCACTCTTCTTCCTAAAGTCCCCTAAAAGCCCCTTGCACACTTTCCCCTTGTAATACAATTAACTTTCATTCCTTTATTGCCTCAGAAAAACTAACCTAGTCCAACTGATCCTTTATTTGATGCCCCGATAAAAGTGACCCCAAGTTTATTGTTTTTCTCAGCTATAGCTGGTGGTGTAGTGAAAGCACCATTATCAATCATGGAAGGAATCTGCAAAACTGCTTTGATTTGCCTGATGGCATCTTCTCTATTTCGTGCCACGGATGCATCTTTCCTTTTGCCTTTCCTATCCGATAAAAAGTTATGCAGTGATATTTAAATCTTTTGAGGACACAGAATGAAATTTAGTAAAATGAAAGAAATAAACAATTATTCATGTTTAAAAAGAATTTGAATTTTTTTTCAGCTTCCAGGTAAAGATCACAAAAATCCTTGCAATTCTTTCTGCTTAAAAAATTTAGTTTTTTTTTTACTTATATGAAATGATGAAGTTTCATGGCCAGAAAAACATTAAAATAAAATTCCTTGATTAGTAAAAAAAAAAGTTGCTAAGAAAGTTCATCTAAGAGTCTAGAGCCATTTTTTAAAATTATATTTTCAGTAGCATCAACAGTTTATTACATAAAAATTTAAGCAGATTTAAAATTGAATAACAAATAAATTAAATTTGCTTTGTTAATGAATAACATTTAGGAATTGCCATACTGGCAACATTTCTTGGGGTCCTACCTTATTCTAATCTCTGTGATGGCCAGAAGGTGCTGTAATGTGCTCATGCGGTGCATCAACATTCGAATCATTTGTAAGATCAAAAGCAGTAACAGAAGAGCCACAAAGGCAAAGCCAAGGATACTTTCCTGGTAGCGGGAACAAACAAATCCATTTTACTGGTTAAGCTATAATCAGAAACAGTTTGCCGACATGAAAATACCAAATGGAGAATTTACTTTATTAACATTAAATTTGTTACACGTAAAATTTGTAGGGAAAACCCCTAAATCTCCAGCACAAAAGAAAAAAAGTTTACCTCAAATTGGTAGGTTTTGCCACCAAATGAATAGTCAAAAGAAATACGCCCAGCTTGTGTACACTGGAACATGAAATTAAGGGCCATCCACAGAAGGTTGAGAATGATTAACCCAAAAGCTGATGAGTTCCTGAGATCTCTCAGGCCATCTGTGTTTTTTTTCTGTAAGAAAATGTTATAAATCAGATCTTCCAAGCCTTATAAGGTTTGTTTGCTTCAATAATTTGGTGTATGTCATATGTAATAGAATAGTCATTAATTTCATTGATAAACAAAAATTACACTTCCTTGTTGAAACAAATTTTAAAACACATTTCTTTCAAGAATAAAATAGGCCAATAAGCTAAAATGTTCAAGTTACCTTCTCCTCAGGAGTGGGATAAATTGGTAGCAAATACTTGGTAATGAACTGTTTTATTAGCCTTAAGAGAAAAAAAACAACAACAAATGTACAAAGTTACAATCCCCATTAATTGAAATGGACTGTGCAAGTTTACACTCTTTGAAAGCAGGTACCTAATGAAGGGATGGCACAATTGTAATATTTGTACAACAAAAATGCAAGGGAGACTTGTGGTTCTATTTTCTATAAAATAAAGTTATTTATTTATTGCATGTTTAGAGCAGTGAAGCACCAAGGAGATGCAAATGCAAAATATTCATGAAAAAATAAATGAAGTATAAAATACATATTTCTCAAACAATAAGTTTACAGAGTTTTTAAACATGACAGGGCCATTTTTTTTTTAGTAGACAGAAAATGCTAGGCCCATTCAATTACCAGGTTAGGGGTTAGGGTGTTTTTAAAGGTTAAAAATAGAGATCAAAATGCAATTAATTCTATAATTATTATTATGAAATTTTTTCTTCCAAGGACATAGATTGTAAATAAATTACATTACCCAGGTAAGTAGAGTGATAAAATTTTGGGAAGAAATGTTTTAAAATTATTAATTTATTGTTAATTTTTTTCATTAAACCAGGATGGATACCTACAAAGCACCACAGAAATTTTAAATAAATCTAAAATAAAACTACTTACTGCTAGTTTCTCCTCAATCCTTTTCAGTAAGTTAATGACTGTTTGGTCAGACATCTCACCAGTCACAAGATTTGTCTGTTGGTTACGTTCAGGTATCAAAGTTTTTACCAGGTTGGTTAATTCTTTCAGGTGTTCTGGTAAATATAAGACATAACATTAAAAAATGAAGGTGCACTTTCATGGGTCTTATCTAATGAGTATTATTATTATAAGTTTAAGTGTATATAATATATGCTTGAGTACTATTATTATAAATTGCAAATACATTCAAAATAACAATTAAAGAACTATTTTCAGTATTCCATAACCTCTTTAACTCGTGTAGAGATAAAATGTATATAAAATATTTATAGAGATGATTTAGGATGGCACAAATAAAAAGGTGGCTTGATCAAATGCATTTCAATGGATGATGGATCTTCAAATAACATGGATAGCTTGTGAATCCCCCTTTAAAAATAAAATAATTCAGCTTCGTAAGATCTTGCTGCATGTTCTTAATTTAATTCAATTTTGAAAACAGCATTGTAAAAACAATGAATATCGTGTGTTCAACTTTTATAAAACATCATCTTAACTATAGGCACTTCCCTCTCTCAAATGTCATTTATTGTATGAGATATCAATACAAAACTAATGCATTTTAATTAAATTTATGCAAGGGGCAAAAGTGCCCTAACTTGCACAAAGTTACAATCCTGCTGGTTGACAAAACTGTTTCACCTTCTCCCCTGTTGAATATCCTGGCCAGAAAACCTTTCTTTGGCTTGTTCTTCTTTTCTTCCTCTTTTTCTTTTTTTCTCCTCTCCATTTCCAATCTTTGGGTCTTTGTAGGCACTTCTCTTGTGCCCCATGAAACATCATTCAGGTTGCAGATTGAAAAAATGACCAGCAGCAAATACCCAGAGGGGATCGTCAGTAAGTAGAGGACACCATGTATCAGGCACCAGATTTCCTATTTTAAAAAATTATTACATTCTGTTTGTGATGGTAAATAAATATATATTAAAACGTAATGAAGTCATTACAAAGAATTTGAATTAACTGCCTTAAAAATAAAACTTAGCATGCCCTTAAAAATGAACTTTATTTTAACAGGGGCCAATTTTAATTAAATCCTTCTCAAAATATATTCTAAATAGTCATATCTAGAAATTTAAAAATAGTTATAATGTCGGAAAAGAACATATATACGGTACCTTAGGATGACAGATGCCAGCAATAATGAAAATTCCAGAGAGAAGAACAATCACAATAACACTAGGATGGGATATGTTCTCCTTTTGCAGCTGTCTGAATGGTACCCACAAATACTACCATCATAATAAATGTGTAGATGATGCTGAGGATTGCTGCAAATATTAGTTGAAGCCTTGTCGTGAGCCAGAAACAGGAGACTGTAAATGCCATGGCAGGTATGGTGGCAAACAAATAGCTTTCTATTAATGTCATCTTGAATACTAGCTTCACTGCACCTGGGAGATAATTTTTATAAAATTTTATAAAAATAAAAATAATCTGAGATTTTTTGGGTGAGGAAGTTTTAGATTTCAAAGTCAAGATAAATTTTTTAACATTATTTTTATATGAATTTTCTTTCCTTAAAATTATGTTGCGATAAAATGACATACATTCCTTAAGCAGTATCACACTGTATAGATTAAGTTAGAAAAAACCATTAAAAATATATTCAGAATTCAAGAATGTCTTATTGAAGTATGAATGTGAAAACTTTAGGAGGGCCAAAGTCAATGACCACAGTTTTGGGATGGCTGATGTAATTATATTTACCAGCAATCATCATGAGGATGGTCCCAGGTCCTAGCATTGTCATTAGCATCAACAGCCACTGAAACAAAATGTACAAAATGCTCATATTGGGGTTCTTCTTTGTTGTCATTGAGGTGCTCCCCAGCAAATCCAGAATGTTGGCGATGGTGGAGGGCATCCAGCGACAACGCTGGTTGAAGAATTCAAAAAACCCTTCAGGCGCAAAGGTCCAGGCATCTGCAGCATATTCAATTCTGTAGCCTTGCTGAAGAAGAAGTATGCACAGCCACCTATCTTCACCTGTGGTACCAGAATTTTTAACTTTTAAACTTGCTTTCCTTTCTCTAGTTGTTAAATAAATAAATCAAAGCGGATTGGTCACTTTATTTCTATGGTTATAAGCCAATATAGAAAAGTTTAATTTTGCACTGTCTCAGCTTAAAATTTGTTGCTGTTTTTTCATTGCTATCAAGATGATACTGATGGTAAATTGATTGGTAATTTTTAATTTGTGTGACTTATGTTGTATAATTATAAAGAATAATTTTAGATGTAATATAAGATTTCATACATATATATTAAAGTAATTTTTTCAATGTTTAAATAAATGCATAAAACTTTAAAACTAACTGCCATCAACTCTAAATAATATTCAGTTTTTAATGATCAAGCAAATAGGATGCCAAAAATTATGTAATACAGATGATAATTTTTGGATAAAATGACATATAATGTAGTTAACAAATGAAAAAAAATCACATTTGCATTTTATAATAAGTGTAGTATCTGTAAAGCTCAAGAAGAGGAAAAGACACACTCAGTGAGTCTAACATTAAGGACAAGCAGACAACCTACCCTGATCAAACTGTAAATGGTCACTTGGCTCAGTTGGTTCAGGTGTGTATTTTTTCATAACATTTGTGTCCATAAGGGCTGCAGCACGAAACAAACTGGAAGACGTATGAAAAAAAACAAATTAGTGTTGTGAAACAACATTGTCTTTCTTGTGTAGTTGAATGGTGAGCCCGTAATCCTATAAAATTTGTATCCCTTTATATAAATAATGAAGTTTGTTTTTACAATATCAGGTAGTAAAGTTGTTTGCTTAAAATCACTTCAGAGGGATGTTGATTTCCATTAGCCTCTCATCTACATGATGTGGTAGTGGGTTGTGTGGTAGTGTTTCATTGGGTAGTGTGGTAGTGGTTAGTGGGTTGTGTGGTAGTGTTTCATTGGGTAGTGTGGTAGTGGTTAGTGTGTTAGTGGGTTGTGTAGTAGTGGGTTGTGTAGTAGTGGGTAGTGTGATAGTGGGTAGTGTGGTAGTGGGTTAGGCGGTAGTGGGTAATGTGGTAGTGAGTAGTGTGGTAGTGGGTTAGGCGGTAGTTTGTAATGTGGTAGTGTGTAATGTGGTAGTGGGTAGTGTAGTAGTGGGTAGTGTGGTAGTGGGTTAGGGGGTAGTGTGTAATGTGGTAGTGGGTAGTGTGGTAGTGGGTAGTGTGGTAGTGGGTTAGGCGGTAGTGTGTTAGTGTGGTAGGAGTAGGGCTGAGATGTTAGATTTGAGGATTGATTCTTTGTAGTTTGTGTAAAAAAGGTTGAGACATATAGATGCAGGGAGTAGGTGAAGTTTATCACCAATGGTTAGCATTGATCCTATTCACCTATTAGAATTAACTTAATAATAGTAGTTGAAGAGGGGATGGTGCCAGTTGTTTGGAGAGTATAGGGTCAAGGTGGATGTTGGAGTAGGGTAGGGTGGATGTCGAGTATGAGCGTTCATTAGTAATTGTTGCGACTCAATATTATGTTCATTAGTTGTTGAACGCTTTTCCCGCACTTGACTATTATAGTTAGTGAACGCTCTTCCCGCCATTGTCTCTATGACGTATTTTTATGCTGAGTCGTGACGTATTGTCTATGCAGTATTGTGACGTATGTTTTAGTCGTGCGGCAGTCTTGAGTGGAACCTTGGAGTGATAGGATGTTTATTATATTTACTTAGATATTCAAGTTATAGTTATTATCAAAAGGAGTTGAGTTAGTTCAATGATAGTGAGAATAGTACGACGCAGCAACGTATGAAAGAACTGACGAATGTAATCAATCCAAGAAGACATTAGGAGTTGACAGTGGACAAAGGAGAGACCTGTTGAAGATGGAGGGGATAATGATTGATAGGGAGGCATGTGGGATGATGAAATGGATAACAGGAGAGTGTGTTTGGCTGATAGTGAAGGATGTGGGATAATGATTGATAGGGAGGCATGTAGGATGATGAAATGGATAACAGGAGGGTGTGTTTGGCTGATAGTGAAGGGCGTGGGATAATGATTGATAGGGAGGCATGTGGGATGATGAAATGGATAACAGGAGGGTGTGTTTGGCTGATAGTGAAGGGCGTGGGATAATGATTGATAGGGAGGCATGTGGGATGATGAAATGGATAACAGGAGAGTGTGTTTGGCTGATAGTGAAGGGTGTGGGATAATGATTGATAGGGAGGCATGTGGGATAATGAAATGGATAACAGGAGAGTGTGTTTGGCTGATAGTGAAGGATGTGGGATAATGATTGATAGGGAGGCATGTGGGATGATGAAATGGATAACAGGAGGGTGTGTTTGGCTGATAGTGAAGGGCGTGAGAGGATCAGGCATGAAACTGTAAACCCATGCTATTTAGAGGTGCTCTGTATATGAACTTTGCCCATCAATTCTTTGTACTGTTTTGGATGCAATGTTTCAAATGTTTAGATATGAATCCTTAGCTCACTGCATTGTAGTGAAAGATCAGTAAATTGGTTTGTTTTTGTTGTTTGGTACAACAAATAAACTACCTGGTACAAAGGTAACGATGTTTGAGCATCCCATGTCTGGGAACACCTGGTAGAACCTGTTGCACGGCTTTGACATGGAAGACTCCCTACAGCACCAGCTGTGGGCCTGGATATTTTCTAGAGCATCTTGGTTGTTCACCTGCCACCACGACCACCATGGGTCAGAGCTCAGAATGACCACCGTCAGCAGAAGCGGGAATGTCAGAGGCTGACCTCAGAGAATCCCAGCTGTTTTAGTCTTGTCCCATCATTTTGTAACAGCACAGCTGTCAAAACATCAACAACATGGAAAGGTAATGTGCTACTGTAACCATAAAAATATAATAATAAGTTTGAACATTTGTTATGAATTAAATTAGTATGGTCATTCAGATTTGCAAAGCTTATTTCTTTTAATATAAAGGTGCGGGCCGGGTGTGTGTGTGTGTTCTAAAAATCAGTGAAGTAATTTAAAAGCTAACAATGCTAATAAATATGTCAAAATACAAACAGAGGGGGCTCGGGATGAAGCAGAGACTCATACATCCACTAATATTGATCATTGTAAACAGACACTTCACTATAGAGAATTAGAATTTCATCAAAAAGTTACTAATTTCTTTGGTACTAGTTGTTTTAAGTTTCTCTTTTCTTTGTGTACACTCCTGCCCAATGGTTTATTTCTTATTCCACTAATCTGCACATGTTATTTTAATACTAGGCAATTTTAATTAATTTTTTAGGCAACCATAACTATACTTTTTTTTTTATTAAAGCATAAATTTAAAAAAAACAACGAACAACATCAGAAAATATTAATTGGGTAAATCTCTAAAATTATCTATTTCAAGCAAAGATTCTTTGCTGTCTATAGGATAATTCTTATTACTTCATCAGGTTTGCATGAACTTTTTTAAGGCCCGTAGTTGTCTGTTGGTCCAAGATTGAGGACCTTTGTTTAAGATCTTATATTTAAAAACTGAAATATTTGACCACATTTTTTAAATAAGTAAATGTTAAAATAATACAAATTAAAAAAAAAAAAAAAAAAAAAATAAATTTCAAAACTTAAATTTAATTAATAA